TCATATACCATTATAGGGATTCATAGTATATATGGGCCCAGGGCCCCTCCTTTTAAGGTTCCTTTGGTCCTTCAGGTATAGGCCTTGCTACAGGGAGTGTCCCTTCAGGGCTTTTGTGTTGGTTGTAATGGGGTGTGCAGCTTCTCTAGATTCGGTTTAGGATTTTTAGGTGGCCCATGCACGGCTTTGATCTTTTTGGAGCTCTCAACCCTTGTGACGCCCCAGTTAATTAGAGATGTTGCATGTGTGTTGTGAAGCATACAGATCTCCCTTCATTTGGGGCTTTGGGTTCCTGCTGTGTGTGGCCGGGAAGTTTGGGGCTCAACCTACCAACAAATAGTTGTTGAATCGTGTCATGTATGAGGGTGGTATATACGGGTTTAGGCCTCTGGTTTACGGTGTAGCGCCATGAAATTGAAATCGAGGTTTGGGTTTATATCGTACATGTTTAGTCCAGTGCTTCCTGTCTTGTAGTTGTCGGGCCAAACTATGTACCCGAACACTCTACCCGTACAGGGCATCGACCACCTGAAACCTATTGAAAAATTCCGCCCCCACAAGTAGACACTTGAGCCTTTTGGACACTTGAGCCTTTCAGTCAGGGCGTGGGGCGTGCGCATAAGGATCAGTGCTAGTCAGGAAACTTGGGCTCAGGTTTCAGGATGCACGAGGATATGTTACTGTTTTCGGTCAGGATTAGTCGGGATTTGGGTTGTGGTTTTAGGCAACATTATACAATATTCGCCACGTCAAGTCTTCACACCCAAGCTGTCCAAGATACCCGTCCTTCACAAGACAAGCTGGAACCCTTGTCGCCGTTGAGGACCGGTACGCTTACCGGGATGTCATGACAGATGCCGGGAACCCAGTATTAGGGACCCAAGAAGCACATAAGCACTTTATAGGGATATCCCTACCTTATTGGGTTTCCTTTTAAGGGGTTTATATGGGATATCCCTATCCAAATTTTTGCTTATGTGCTTCTTTGGGGCCCCGCAGTACTTGCCGGGTCTTTTACGACAGGGTCTGCCTTGATCCTGAACCGCATCACAACGTTTTGTCTGGACCTTAAGGACGAAATGAACCCTAAAAGGGTTTAAGGTTCATATACCATTAAAGGGATTCATCGTATATGGCTATAAAGCTCCGACTTTTATGGGTCATTTGGTCCTTCAGGGATGGCATGGTTTACGGTTTGCCCTACACATGTCATGACCAACTGGGACAACCGGAAACCCTAAACCCTAAACACTAAGCTTACGGTTGAGAAGCCGTCCATCAGCCACGAAGAAGCCGAAGATGGGATCCAAAACCTTACTCGAGGTAGGGCTTTGGGACATCTTATATTTGCTCTTAATACGAGCCCAAGTAACCCTAAAGCAGCCCTAAGCCCTAAACCTTATATGAACCCTTGTGACCCGAAAGCCCAGAAGCCACAACACACCGGAGCCTGCAACCCCCCGAAAGCCGGACGCCCTGCATCTTGAAGCCCTCCAGCCCTACACCATGTAGGACTTTACTAGGGTTCCTTTAAAGTGGTCTATAGGGGTTTACTATAAGGGATCTATAAGGGTACTATAATGATGTAGGAACCCGAATAAGAAACCTTGGGCCCTCTATTAGGCTCCTTACAATGTGAATCCTACTATCTTGGGGTATAGGCCCAGGGCTTCTTAATCAGGTTCCTACATTACTGCTCTCTTTCTCTATCTACTCTTGCCCCGGAACCTCAAAACATAAACCCTAAACCTTACCTGAAGGACCAAATCACCCTTCAAAGTAGGCGCCCTATACCCGCATAGTATGAATCCCTATATCGTATGTGAACCTTGAGCCCTTTTAGTGTTCATGTCGTCCTCAAGGTATGAACCCTATGAACCCTAAAGCCTAACCCTCGCAGCCCAAGCCCTGAGGTCATCATCCAGCACCTGGTTACCGAGCAAAAGGTCCGAATCAGGTGTAAGGACAGAGGATCAGGGAGAGGGTTCAGGGTTTATGTAGGGTTCGTGTAGGGTTTATGTAGGGTTTATGTAGGGTTTCTAGGGCTTTAGGACTGGTAGGGTTTAGGGGAAGTTTAGGCCGTTCATTGAGCTTAGGGTTTGTACGGGGTCTCGGGTGGACCTCGGCTGGGTATACCTCCGCTAGCGACTCGGGGGGAGAGCGGTGGCGTGGAGTTTAGGGTTTGGGGTTTAGGGGTTTAGGGTTTAGGGGTTTAGGGTTTTGGGGGTTTGGGTTTTGGGATTTGGGTCTGAGGTTTGGGGTGTACGGTCTTGGGGTGCCTCGCTGGGTTTTGTTGTGAGGATCATGTAATCATGTTTGCTCAATCGCTTGAAAGGCCCGACCTGCGATGAATAAGCTGGTGCAGCAGTAGAGTTCTGAGGCTTGCAAATTCGTCAGGCGTAGTATCAGGTGGAGTCGACCAGCAGCAACTGTCGTGAATGAAGAGCTCAGTGGGCGCCCTGAACTGTACTTTTCACCCAAGCCCTCGCACTTATCTCAAGGGCATACCTCCAAGAAGAGCCACCGCTATAGGTACACCTCAAATGCTCCCTGCACCGGAAGGACTACGTCAAGAAAATTGCGGTTTATCGAGACCGACTGGCTGTACAGTTGCCAGACAAGGCGGCAGATCCGCGAACCCTAAACCTTTAAACCCTACTGGTAACCTTAGGCCCTAAACTAAACCTTAAGCCTCAAGCCCTAAACCCTGAACCCGTTTAATAGAAACCTTAGACCCTACACACCCTTAACTCTAAACCCACGTCAACCTTGACCCTATACTATACACCCTCCACCTTAAACCTACTATTTGCTTAAGAACCCCCAAAAAATAAAAATATATTCCTTATGGGGGTAATATAGGGATTATTATTTTTATTTTTTGGGGGGTTTCTTAAGCAAATAGTAGAAACTCCATAACCCCAAAGCCTCGAAGCCTCAACCTCGGACCCTGCACCTGAAACCCTAAAGCTGGGTGGCTGCTTGTCAAACTTAGGGTCCCTTTTTGGGGTACCCTAAATATTAGGTGCCGTACTATAATAAGGACCCAAAAGGGACCCTAATATTGACAACCACCCGAGTTGAAAACCCTAAAGCCCTAAAGCTCAAAAGACTCCTTGGCCCTAGAGGCCACAAACTCCCTATCCTTGCCAAAGGCTCCGCTAGGTAGGGCTTTGGGACGTTCTATATTTGAGCTTAAGAGGATCTTAACATTTTTCAAAAGCTTTAACGCACATCCTAGTCTTTGCCTACATAGTATATACTTAGGCCTCAAAGGCTCTCTTGAGGCCATAGTTGCTTTAAAGCGGTTCATGGTTAAGGGCTTTTAGGTACTCTCAGGCCTAAGCATATACTGTATAGGCACATGCAGCCGTAAGGCTTGCACCCCAGAAGCCCCGCTGCCAGGGCACTCCAACTGCCAGCAACGCAGCGTAGCAATGCACAGTGTCTGCTGTCTTGTATTTACACACACACATATATATATATATATTATTTGTTGTACACATTGTTGCAGAAGACTTTAAGTTTTTCATTCAAGACGATATATATATATATATATATATATATATACACACTATAGGGTTTGGGATCGAGCTTGCGGCTGCCCGCCGTCAGTATAGCCCATTCCCCAGTGCATCGCTGCACGAAGCAATTCCGGCCTCACCTGCGTGGCATCGTCACCTGCGGAGGAAACGATCGGCCGCGCGGAGCCGGATTCGCGTACTCCGGGCACAAGGCAAGAAGCCCTGGCAAAGAGACATCGCCCTGCTGGAGCAACACCACTCCAAGCCGAAGTACAAGGTCCATCGGCAGATGGGAAAGAAGTCATGGACGTACTGGAACGGAGGCTTCAAAAGCCGCCGTGGTGGCGAATGGCAGCAGCCTTCCTCTTCTGGCAAATGGGAGCAGGAATATGGCTGGGACGACCAGGGTTACCCCTCCTACACCCGATCGACCGGCAGTGGTCAACCGAGAATGCCTCCACAGGAGAAGCCCAAGGAGAAATCCGAGGCAGCGGGTCTGGTTCAGGCCATTCAGCGAATGGTGACCACGGCGAGGAAGGCGGAGGTCAAGGCCCGCAAATTGTGCGAGGAGAAAGAGCAGATCGAAGAGAACTGGAAAGCTTTCCAGGCGGACATGAAGAAGAAGTTCGTCCGTGCCCACGAGCTCTATGTCAAGGACACGGAGCGCATCGACCTGGCCATCAGCGATGGACAAGCTGCCCAGGCAAGTGCCTTCCAGGAGCTCCAGGAAGCGATGGCCCACCCGGAGCGACTGACCGTTCCGAGTGTTGCCCCGGCTCCCCAAGAGGCGAACAAGGCATGGGATGCCCTACTGGGAGACATCGAGGACAGCGACGAGGAAATGGCGAATACGGTGGTGGCCCATGTCCAGGAGAAGCTTCGCAAGGTGATGGCGACTACGCCGCCGCGACAACGACCTCGCGTTGCTCCTCTGACCCCGCTCCAGACGGAGAAAGCGCCGAAGAGGGCGACGTCGACACCATTGGTGGACGCGATGGTGGGAAATCACAGCCCTCCTGGTTTCGGGGAGAGTCCCCTTGGAACACCGGTGCTGAACGACCCCTACCAGACCTCGCCGACAACGAGACTCGCTATGCCCTCGCCGCCTACGACCCGCACAAGATCCAGGTCGATTACCAGAAGGACCCCAATCAAGGAGAAGGGCAGGGAGCCCTCGCGACAGCGACCATCAGGAGGACTGAGTGGCAAGCTCGAAGCTGCCAGGCATGCAGCTGTCAATTTGATCGAGGACGACGAGGACGAATCGCCTACGCCTGCTCCGGAAAAGTCAAGGACCGAGGGCGAGCAGGAGGAGACGAATTGATGTCGGTTCAGCGTGGACCTCAATGCCACCCAGACAGTCAGGGAATGGACTATAACTCTGACTGTGGAGTATGTGGGCTTAGTCGGTGTGTCCCACCTCTACAAGGTTTGCTGCGGAACAGTGGTGACTGGGCGCGGCATTGCCAATCTTGGATGGAAAGACCAACCTGCTTTGGCAAGCAGGAACCTCGCAAACGATACTGGGACCTCTTGGATTTCTATGAGGAGGCCCTGGAGTATCTTGAGGCCACGATCAGCGACCACCTCATCAGCACGGAGCACTCATGGCCGACGAGCTGGGTGTCTTTGTTGTTGTTTGTCCTCGCTTCTGAGATCCTCCTGTTGATCACCTACGGGAGGTATGCAGCCCCTTTTGGAAGCGGCCGGAAGAAAAGAGTGAAGCCTGCCTGGCTCCAGATGCTCGTAGCTTTTGGGATGCTGGTTGGAGGGGGAGCAATGAACCCCAGCTCTTCGGCGACGGCTCCGAGCCTTGGAAGACCCTCCAATTGGTGGGCGCATGACTACACCCCGGCTGAGCAATATGCATGGGCACAGCAACGCCTGATTTGGGACTGCCCACTACACAGCGGAGGCCTGCTGCCTGGCCATGCCTATGCAGCTGGACCTCCGATTGTCGAACCGAGACCACCGGATGCCGTCGACGATGAGGAGCCGGAGCCGGAACTCCTCGAGGACCCCTCTGATGACGAGCATCATGCGGTACATGTCTCGCTGTGGCTGTGCACTCCATGGTCGCAACCAGAAAGCATAGAGGTCGCGATGCCCTTCCCGCTCCACCTCGACGACCTCTATGATGCGATTCGGGACCCACGCAATGCCAGTGCACAACCTTGGCTGCAACATGTCGTGGCCACCAACCCGCAGGTCCATGATGAGTTTGCGAGCTTTGTCCTCCTTCCGGAATGGATTGATCAGACTGACAAAAGGGCTATTGTTGTTGATGCTCGAGACATTGGGGGCCCAATCTTTGCCACCTACATCAATGGTCGTATCAACCGGTTCAACATGCTACAGCAGGCGGAGAAGGGCACTGAGGAGCCCTTTGAGGTCTTCGTGGGAGGAGATTTGGCACCCTTAGGTCCCGAGGAAAGCCGCACTCCAGAAAACGGTCTCCTGGTGAAGATCATTGCGAGAGGTGCGGTTATAGACTGGGCGAGCCCTCTCCAACCCCGGCTGTCTCAGCCTGCTGCATGGAACCCGGACACAGAGCACCCACAGGCGCCGCCAACTGCACGAGGCAGGCACATCGCCTTCCAGACTCAGCAAGAGCAGTATCTGCACCGTGCGAGGCGACAGGATGACAACACACCGGAGACTGTTGCAGCTTGGGCATTCAATCTCCGCCCGACAGATTTCTGGCTGAGGGCACCCACAGATCGCCCCCAATATCTCTGCTGGCGTGGCTGTAAAGTCCACTCTCTTGTTGCTGTGGTTCCTCAGGAGCTCCACGCCCGAGGGACGGTTCAGATCATTACCCTCGACCTGCGGGGCATCGCTTATTGGCCTCAGTGGACAGCTGTTCGCGGCAACATCTTCCACCCAGGCGACTTCGTTGAGTCCTTACAAATTGAGGTTATTCCGGGATTCTCAATAGTCGCCGTCGGTGGGAGACGACATGGAGACGGAGGACACATCTGGGTAAACGATGGTGATGTCGTGGAGATCCATCTCCGCCGAACAGCTACTATCACCCCTACGGAGGAGTGTGACTCGGACTCTGAAGGCCCTGGATTGGACAACCAGGAGGATGAGGAGAGCGAGACCGTTGATGCAATGCCCGGATCCTCGGAGCTGTCGGAAGGTAGCCCGCCTCGGGGCCCAGGCCCATTTGGTCCGCCAAGGCCAACTCCAGTCAACCGGAGTCGTTCGCCCCACCGAAGGCATGATGGCAGTCGGCCACCGAGACGAGAAGGCCGCGAACCGGAACACGAGCCATCTACGGATCATGCACTACAAGTTCGCCTAAGTGACCACCTCCCGGCGGCCTCCTTCGACATGACGGTTGAGAAGCTCGACTTCGAACATGACGGCGACAAAGTGAACCAAACCTTCCAGGCATGGCCTGCTGAATGGCTGCTCCAAGATTTCGGGAGCCTCCCATGGAAACCCATCACCCAGGTGGCTATGGCGGGCCTTATGCACTGGGCTACACTGCTTTTACGTGTAAGCCCTGAAGGAGCACCTGACGTGCACATCTACACAGACGGATCGTACCAGGCCCAACACAACTGCAGCGGATATGGTGCTGTCATGTTCCTACATTACGGAGGTGATTGGGCACATTTCGGCCTCTTTGGGGATGCTATCTTGGGTAGCGCGGGGTCCCCTTGGAGACAAGAGGAGCCATACCCGCTCATTGCGGAACAGGTTGCCATCGCGATGGCTTTGCTTTGGCTTGGCCAACTGATCGGCTACCTCCGCATTGCAACGGCAACGATCCACTTTGACAACCAGGCCGCTGGCTGGGGGGCAGATGGTACATGGTCGCCTTGCAACGAACTTGCGGGGAAAATTCGGGAAACTGAGGCGTATGTCCGGGGCATGATTGGGGGTCGGCTCTCCTTCGCCTACGTGAAAGCCCATGCCAATGACCCATGGAACGAAATGGCTGACGTTGTCGCCAAGCAAGCGGCCAATATGAGCTCGCTCGTCCCCAGGCCTCCGACAACCAATGTGGAGGCCTTCAATGACCTCCAGGCGGCATGGCTGTCGACGGCAACTCTTGGAGCAGCCAACGGTGCCCTGCCAATCAAAGCGGGACGGTGGCTGGAATGGAGCCAAGAATGCCCATGGGATCAAGACATGATCGACCCAAGTGACCTGATACCTACGGTGTCAGGACTGCGACTTGCCAAAACCTCGCAGATTGAGACCAAGGTCATCACGGTCAACCTGCAGGGATTGAAGGGCAAGCATGCCTACATCGAGGAACAGCTCGCATGGAGACAAAGCCGCATTGTTTTCCTTCAGGAGACAAAAGATCACGAGGGCCTGATCACCAGTCGCAAGTTCAAAAGACTGGCTAGTCCGGCCCAGGTGCACTGGGGCACTGCTATTTGGCTCAATGCTACGGAGGGAGCCTTTGACATCAACAACCAGCCGGTGTACATCGAGGATAGCGATGTTACGGTCCTCCACAGCCAGCCGCGACTCTTGATTATTCAAATCCTCAAGGCTGGCCTCAAGATCATTCTCTTTTCCGCCCATATCCCCCATGAAGCTCGAGGTCCGGAGGCGACTGCGATTTTGGCTACGATCGAAGGCCTCCTGCACCGGACAGGGGACGCCACCATGATCATCGGTGGCCTTGACGCCAATGCAAGACCGCCCCCCCACTACGGGCAGGTCACCGGAGGACAACAATTCGATGAGCCAGACAACCAGGGTACCAGACTCGCCGACACTTTACAGGCGACTGGACTTTGGCTGCCATCGACGTTTGAGGGAATCCATGTTGGCCCGGATTACACCTTCCAACACGTCAATGGAAGCCGGCATCGCATCGATTTCGTCGCCATCGGTGGCGAAAGTCGTACTACTTTGGTGTCGACGGAAGTGGTCCCGGACTTTGACACCGCCAACTCGGTTGTGGACCACATTGCCCTTGAGGCTCATATCCGAGCCGTCACCGGACCCATTTCAGCTGCATGGAAATTGCACCGACCCAAGTATGACAGGAAGAAGATGGGTACAGCGGAAGGTAAGGCCATCATCCGAGAGGCCTTGGAGCGATACCAGGTCCCGAAGTGGGAGGTCGGGGTCAATCAGCACTGCCAGCACTTCCAGCGATACCTTCAGCAAGTCTTGCAGGACAACTTCAAGGTCTTGGCTGGTGGCCCAAGAGCTACCTACATTTCCAATGAGGTTTGGACATGGAGGGCCGCCAAGCTACGACTGAAGCAAAAGACAGACCACAGACGGGAAATATGGAGTGCTGGCCGTCGATGGGCCTTTGAAAAGTGGGCCCGTGGGGGCAACTTTGCCAGCAAGGCGATGGCGAAGCACCAGCTCCTTTATCAACTGGCTGCATCGGCGATTTCCTGGACCACTGCTCGTATCAAGCGACAGATCCGAGCAGACAAACAAGATTTTCTGCAGAGCCTCGTTGCGGATGGAGTACAAAACATTGGCCAGATGATGAAGAGGGCGAAACAGGGAGGAATTGGAGGCAAGAAGGCAAGGCCCAGAGCCCAGCCATTACCACGACTCTGTGATGCGGACGGAGTGGTGGCTGCCGACCGCGAGCAGCGTGATATGGTGTGGCTGCGTCATTTTGGTGACCAAGAATGCGGCCACATCCTCCCGGTCGCTGACTACGTGCAGTCGATGTCCAGAAGTGGTCGCGAAACCTCCGATCTAGAATGGTCGTTGCAAGAAATGCCAACTCTTGCGGAAACAGAAAGGGTTCTCCGCCTGACCCCAGCCGGGAAAGCCATGGGGCTGGACAATATACCTGGAGAGTTACTCCGCGCCGATCCATCGCGGTTTGCGGAGAAAATGCATCCATTGGTGGTCAAGTCCCTGGCTTACATGACACAACCAGTTCAATGGAGAGGAGGCATATTGCATGCTGCATTCAAAGGTTCGGGCCCGGTCGACCAGCCCTCGAACCACCGCTCGCTATTTGTGAGCAGCATGCTTGCCAAGGCATTTCACAAGCTCATACGCTGTCGCGGCCAGCAAGCCTTGCAAGGGGTTCTGCACGGGCTACACCTTGGCAGCAGGCGAAATGCCCCCCTTGGCTTTGCTTCAATGAGCCTTCTGTCGCATGCCCGTTGGTGTTATCGTCTGAAAAGGAGCTACGCCATACTCTTTATCGACACCACAGCTGCTTACTATCGAGTCCTGAGACAGGCAGCTGTGGGGCCACTGGACACAGACGAGAACGTGGCAAGACTTTTGGCCAAGTTTGGCATGGTGCCAGAAGACATGCACACCCTGCTCGACCTCGTGAAGCAAGGAGGCTTGATGAAGGAGGCCGGAAACTCTGCGGTGGTTCAGGCGGCGTGCGCCGACTTCCACAGAGACACTTGGTGCGTCTCAGCCTACTCAAGCGGGGACAAAGTGGCTGTCACCACGACAGGGTCAAGACCTGGCGAAAGTTGGGCGGACGCGATCTTCGCATACATCTATGCGAGAACGATGGGCACGCTGGTCGAGCGGGCAGATGGAGAAGGACTCTTGACCCGTCTGCTGTACAACCAGCAGGATGGTGTTTTCGGGCACCCGGCACAAGGCACGTCATGCCTTGTCCGGGACTCCACTTGGGCGGACGACTCAGCGGTGCCAGTGGACAGCGACGACCCTATCCAGTTGGTCACCAAGGCTAAAAGGCTAGCCTCGCTTGCGGTCGCTACCCTGGAGGAGTTCGGTTTAGCGCCCAATCTCAAACCGGGCAAGTCGGCCCTCATGATCTACGTCGTCGGCCGTGGTGCCCAACAAGCTCGACGAAGCATCACCACCGGCAGGAAATCAGAGGTCTACCTCGACGACCTCCGAGTCAAGGTCCATGTCGCCCCTCAATACACGCATTTAGGAGGTGTGCTGGACCCCAAAGCCACTTTGAAAGCTGAAGCACGGAGGCGACTGGCAATGCTGGGTTCTGCGTTCGACCAGGGAAAGCGACTCCTGTTTCAGAATGCCACTATCTTGCTGCCGATCAGGGTCAAGTTGTACGAGGCCAGTGTCCAAGCAACGCTCTTCAACCTCCTCTTGTGGATTCCGGAGGGGCCATCGTGGGAGAAGCTGTCCAGTGGCTACTCTCGATGCCTTCGGCGCCTGCTGGCGACAGAAGTCAAGGGCGACCAGTTATTCCGCGTGCCGGAGCCCTTGGTTCATGTCGTGACAGACAGTTGGTGCCTCTCCCTGGTAGCCATGAGAAGCCGACTCGGCTTCCTCAGTGCTTTGGTCCGTCACGGGCCAGCGATACTGTGGGCGGAGCTACAAAAAGAGGCTGCGTGGCTGCAGTGTGTGCGCTCCGATCTACGCGAGTTGGCTACGTTTGATGGGTCGTGGCCGAAGGTCGAAGCCACGGAATGGCCGAAATGGGCCGAGCGTATCACTGCTGCGCCAAACCGCTTCAAACTCAGTGTCAAGAAGATGTTGCGGAGCAAGCACAAGGCTATGATTGCCGCTTTCAAGATTGACCTGGTTCTGTGGGCCCTCTACCGCGCGGCGAAGAACCCTGAGGCAGCCGGCGCCCCCACCAGCCCGAAGTGGATTTGCAGAGCATGTGACAAGAGTTTCATGTCTCGGGGGGGATTGGGCGCACACTTCTTCAAAACGCACAAAAGAAGGGCTGACTACAGGAACTACGTCCATGGCAGCCTTTGTAAAGGCTGCGGGCGGGAGTTCTGGTCGCTGCCCCGACTCTCCATCCACCTCCGAGACACGCCGACATGTGTTGCGGCGCTCCGAGCCCAAGGTGTGCGACAGGAAGTGGTTGCCCCCGGATTGGGCAGCACAAAATGGCGGCAACTCGAGGAGGAGCAGTTCACGATGGCCCCTACGGCACAGGTGGAAGAGCCTACCGCCGTGGTTGCCAAAAGGGGGTGGAGTGACACAGCGACAGCGGCCTACCAAGACGTTTGCGGCAAACTGCTGGACAAGCCCCAATGGAACACAGTCAGGGAGATCCAGCAGGTTATTGTCGAAAGCCTGGTGAACTACCCCCTCTATGCGGAGGAGGAAGAAGCGGTGATGAGCTACATCTCGGACGAGGTCGAGTACCTCTCCCAGAACGTGCCGGAGGATATGTGGGACAGTGAGTCCACGGCGAATGTCCTCTATGCCCTGCAGCATGTGCCGCCTCCTGCGACAGCGACTGAGGGGCCGAACTGGGCGACTAGCTGCTCCCTCAAAGACTTCCGCGAAGCGGTTACGGCTGTTGAATGGAATGAGATTTCTAGACGGTCTTGTGAGATCAGCGGGACCCCGACACCGGAGCCTGAAATCCTGTCGATCAACTGGGAAGCTGGAGAGTTGATTTGCAGTGGCGACGGTCAAGCTCTAGCCGCGACTCGAGACCTTTACATGATTGTCCCGAAGAAGCTCCGCACAGTTTGGGCTAAGATCGTCGACGGACAACCCGTCAGAGTCAAGGCCCCTGAATGCTTCTGGGATTCGCCCATTTCGAAGCCTTTTACGGCTTTGAGGGCCTGTGCAACCAATTAGAGCTGCGTACACCACTGAATGCCTCGAAATGGAAAAAATACACACTATACAGAGGTTGTATATCTTCCGACGTTCTTGTCAGAAGTGACTCCGAGCCTTTGGTGGTCAGAGGGCAGTGCCTCTATCCAGACACCTTCCATAGAGTGTTCTTGGACTCCCTCATCATACCGGAGGAGGGCCCGCTTCTGCATCATCTTTGCCCAGGCACTCCGCCGTATGCGGCGCAGCACTACCACCATCGCAGCGCGCGAATCCGTGCAGCTTTGTCTCACTCCCTCCCGGAAGCGCAGGCTGCTGGATATCCTGGGGACGGAACTCCCCCCGCAGCCTTTGAGAGGTTCGAGGCATACCCTAAACCGTAAACCCCAAGATAGAAACACTCATTACAGAACCCTTTTTCCAGAGGGTCCAACTACCCAAATAGTAGGGTTTTAGGTCCCAAAAATCGATACTCTGAATGGTTTTTGGACCTCGAAACGATGGTATTTGGGTACTTGGACCCGTAGGGTCTCGAGCTCACTAGAACCGGCCAGCAGTTGGGATTTTCGAGTGATGATCTCTTTGCATCAGCTCTCGCTCCTCAGATCTTGTACAGTACCAACGCATGTCGTAGCCCCTGTAGGAACCTTGTAGCAATCCCTACGGTGGATGATACAACTCCTGCATCACCTTAAGGACCCCCCAAACTCTGCGAATTATGGTAGAGTCCTTGTTATGGATAATGCAGGACTTATATCATCAACCGTAGCATAACCCTATCATATCCCTTACCCCAAGGGTCCAAAGGACCCAATAATCGGGCACTCGGTTTTAGGATAGTAGTTAGGTAGGTTAGGATTTCGGAGAGTGTATGATTATTAGGTACTTGGACTCTTGGGGTTAGGGTAGGATGCCACTGCTTAGTGTTTGGACCTTCTTCCGTCGAAGGCTCCCGCCCAGGTTTTGGTGGCTCCGGGCTAGGACCCTGGGCCCTGAACCCTGAACTTAGTAACTAAACCCTAACCTGCCACCCTAAACCCTAAACCCCTAAATCCCTAAACCCCTAAACACCTAAACCCCTAAACCCTAAACCCCTAAACCCCTAAACCCTAAACCCTCAAATCGTTAAGATCGTGCGCTGCAGGTGCTCATCTACGAGGTCTCTCACGAAGATCCGTTGGATATGCACTACAAGCGCCCCGATGGCATAAAGATATCCTCAGATTTGATGTGTGATAAGCGATCCTACAAAAGACCCTGAACAATCAGGTTCTCATGACTAGTTGCATACCTACAGCCCCCAACTACTCTCTATATTCTACCCCAAATACCCACTATTAAGGATCATAAGGGCTCGATTAAAGGGCCCCTCAGGGATCCTGGTAAGGCCCTTAAGGACGAACTGAACCCTAAAAGGGTTTAAGGTTCATATACCCTTCTAGGGATTCATCGTATATGGGTATAGGGTTCCTACTTTTAAGGTTCCTTTGGTCCTTCAGGGTCTCAGAAGTGCTCTGCATCAGAGAGCCACTCTTGTCTAGGACCCAGAGTAGGCCCTTATTCCCTTTTTGTAGGTGTCAGGTTCCCTAATAGGCCCCTTTAAACCAAAAACGGCACCCTTTTTATTCCTAGGCTACTCTTGGGTCTAGTTGTGGAAACTGCGTCTCGCGGCCCAGCACAGGGATCTGTTGGTCGAGCTGTATCTGTTCCCAGAGACTCCCTGGGTTCCCTTTAAAGGGATACCTAGGGTTTCTTTGCAGGGGTTCTGTAGGGTGCCTATGAAGGGATCTATCAGGGTTCCTTAAAAGGGATCTATCAAGGATCTGTCGGGTTTTGGGGTTTAGGGAATTGCAATATCCCTGAATTGAGGAATCCGGAATATACCTTAATATTGTTTAAGGTATAACCCTTAATTGAGAGATATTGGGAGTCTCTGGGGATGTTCATCTGTACACGGCAGTGGTCTCCTGATTTTTGCATATGTGTATGCACAGACGTATGTATGTATGTTATGAGTGTATGTAAGTATCTAGTTCGCATGTATGTACGAAAGAATGCATGTTTGACAATACGTGGTTGTGTCTGGCCGCGTGTGCATGTACCTATGTGTAAAGCAAGCACAAACAAATAGAATATGTGAATAAGAAAATGCACACAGATAAACTAAAACCAGTCTCTTTGTTTTTCTCTCTCGCTCTCTCTCTCTCTCTATATATATATATATACACATAATTACACACACCAGTGCACCCTGCTGCATGCCGCCATCTCTTTGCTCTCTCTCCCCCTTCCTCTCGTCCTTCCTCTTACTGCGCCTTCGTGGATTGTCAACAGAGTTTTCTCTGCGATCATGAAAGTGTGCGAAGGTGCTGGCACGCACGCACAGTTCTACGCGCATTATGCAAGTGGGTGCTGGTAAACAATAAAAAAAGCTCATGAACATGAAAGCACGCGACGCAACATCACGACCCAACTCTGTAAGGACTAATTAAACAGCCTTGATAGTAGTAATCTGCACCTAAACTCTTACATCCTAAACCCTAAACCCTTAGATCCTAAACCCAAATCCTAAACTTTAAAATCTTCAACCCTACACATCCCTAAACCCAACACTGTTCGGTCATAGGCCCTAAACTCATAAACCCTAAACCCTAGACCCTTAAGTCCTAAGCCCTACCCCCCGGGACCCCTTCCATTTTGTCCTTACTTAGCCAATTGGAGAACTTTAAACTTTATGGCTTTACATATTTGGCCTGTCTTCAAAAGTTTGACCTTTTTTGGGCCTGGCTATTGGAGAAGAGAGTGTCAGACGCCAAATCTGAGGAACATAGAAAAGATCAAGCCGGCGGCTGAGTTCCGCTTCTGGGTTCCTCTGAGGGTTCCCTTAGGGTTTAGGGTCCTGTTCCTTTAGGGGTTTAAGGGTTCAGGGGTTTCAGGGGTTTAAAGGTTTAGGGTTTGAGGGGTTTTAGGGGTTTAGGGGTTTTGCGTTCAAGGATTTGAGGGTTTAGGGTTTGTTTAAGGGATCCTTCAAGGGTCGCTTTGAATCGAAGGGATCTATAGCACTCCTTTCAGGGTTCCTTTAGGGGATGCCCTCATGAGTTCCTTTCGGGGTGCTTTCTTACCAGGGTTCCGTTCGGGATTACTTTATAAGGGTTCTTTGACGGGCTCCTGCAAGCTACTTAAAAGTGTGTCCTTTAAACTGACGCATGGGGCTTATGTAATTGTTCTTCGGGGTTCAATTCGAGGCCTCCGGGCTTCATAAGGGTCACTGTCCCAGTCTTCGTCGTTATTATGTATTGTACCTTATTCTTCATATCTTCATTACATATGACATATTGTATACTATATGGAGTATATGGGTGGTTGTCAAAATTAGGGTCCCTTTCCGGGTACCTTAGATATTAGGTGCCGTATTATATTAAGGACCCAAAAAAGGACCCTAATTTTGACAACGCCGAACATATGACATATCATATACTAAATGCTATCTCTAAGCTCCAGTTACCTAAATAGTAGGTTACTAACCACATTTTATATACCCCAGTAACCTACTATTTACGAAACCCCTAAACCATAAACCCTTAAACCCTAAACCCCTAAATCATATGGGTACATGGAGCCTTAGGGCTTACCTGTATCCCCAAACTGGAGCCCTAGGGATTTCTAAGTATACCGCCGCAGTGGTCAGTCCGGGGTCCGACGACGAATTTTGCGGCAACCTTCAGGGTTTAGGGATTGAGGGGTTTTGGGGTTTTAGGGTTTAGGGCTCTAGGGGTTTAGGGTTAAGAGGTTTAGGGCTTAGGGCTTTAGGGGTTAGGGGTTTAGGGTTAAGGGGTTTTAGGGTTTAGGGGTTGAGGGGTTTTGGGGTTTTAGGGCTTTAGGGGTTGAGGGGTAGTTTTGGGGTTTTAGGGCTTTAGGGCTTTAGGGGTTCAGGGGTTTAGGGGTTTTAGGGTTTAGGGCTTTAGGGGTTAGGGGTTGAGGGGTTTTGGGTTTTAGGGTTTTAGGGCTTTAGGGGTTTAAGGGTTTAGGGTTAAGAGGTTTAGGGTTTAGGGCTTTAGGGCTTTAGGGGTTTAGGGGTTTAGGATTAAGAGGTTTAGGGTTTAGGGCTTTAGGGGTTTAGGGGTTTATAGGGTTTGAAAGGGTTTATAGGGTTTAGGGGTTTAGGGAGGGTCCCTGCAACAGCTTTTGTCGGTGCAGGGTCTTAGGAGGCAAGGTGCGGGGTTCCAAGCGGGGCAAGGTTTTAGGGGGCTCCGGAATCATCCCAAATATTCACGCCAGCTTTCTACCGGGTGGGGTGCACGGTTCAGGTGTCAGGGGCCATTGATAGTTGCAGGGTTTCGGCGTGCCGTCTAAAGGGTTTATGCATGAGTTGTTTGGGTTGACCGGTTTAGGGTTGCGATGACTTAGCACTTTCAGAACAACCCTTCTAGTACAATGACACCCATCAGTCCTATCCACATAAGCATCCAGGCCTGTAGACGCAGAGCAGAGTGTCACGGGCTTCGGGTTTATCCCTATGGACCCTAGATATGAAACCGTTCAACACTGTGGTTGGTTGCCGATCGCAGACATCAGCGGTCGCATGGGACCAGGCAAAAGTTGCCAGAACTGCCCAAGAGAATGAAACCCTAGCTCCTACACCCCAAACCCTCAACCCTACCGTAGACCTGAAACCCGAAACGGTATCAACATATACTCAAGTGGACTCCTCCAGGGCAAGCATGTGCTTTGCCATCTTTCACTTCTTGAATGGATTCCCTTCGCATCCTGCAGAGCGAGCTTCCCTAACAAGTTGTCCTTTCCCGCATCTGACAGAGAGTGGGCTGAGTCCACAGAGACTCCAATATGCCTTAATTAAGGAATATACCTTAAATTATAGTAGGATCCTCAATATGGATTTAAGGTATATTCCCTAATTAAGGGATATCGGAGTCCCCTAAACCTTTTTCACCCTAGATCCCTTATAGATCCCTTAAAGGAATTCTAGGTATTCCCTAATTATGGAATCTTGGAGTCTCTGGGTCCATCATGCGCGAGAAGGAGGCCCAATGACATGATATCATGGAACGTGAAACGAAGCGCAAAGATGAAGCCCCTACCTTAAGGACGAAATGAGCCCTAAAAGGGTTTAAGGTTCATATACCATTATAGGGATTCATCGTATATGGGTATAGGGCTCCTACTTTTAAGGGTCATTTGGTCCTTCAGGAATGCTAGGATATCATGGAACGTGAAATGAAGCGCAAAGATGAAGTCCCTAAGGGTCGATGTACCCAAATAGTATATACTATGCTCCCAATGTACCTACATAGGGACTACTTTGAGGCCCAAGTATATACTATTTGGGCACATGGACCCTTAGGAAGTTTGTGCTGGGGCCCATTGCATCTTCCTGGCACGTTGGGCTCAAGTGGCAGGGAGGTCTCCAGTTGCCAGCCTCTACAACATACAACAGGGTCTGCCGAAAGCCCGGTCGTGTCATTTGCGGGAGTCAACGGCCTCGCAGCCTGCAGCACACGACTTGAATGCCACCCCGAAATCATCTAAACCTGTCAGATTAAAATGCCGGACACTGTGAGAAAAGAACCCTTACAGTCAAAGTCTATAATAGAGCTACTATTAAGGTCCTAATACAGTAGAAGCCAGAAAGTTGGAATATGATTCTCCTAAGCCCTTTATGGTAAATTATAGGGTATCCTACCCTGAAACCATATTCCAACTTTCTGGCTTTTACTATATAGCTATATTATGAATATTATCCAACTGTTCCTGAGTGGCCCGTACGACAACAGAACAGGAGCTTCTCAAGCCCCAGCCCGAAACCCAAGCTCCGCAACCCAAGCCTCAAGTGCTAAACCCACTGGGACACTATGCAAATATCTTTTTATCTGTATACTATGTGTATATACATATATATATATATATATAGATGTATATATATATATATATATACACATGTGCTGTCATGTTGTATATATATATATATAACGTATTTATGTTGTCTCCCTGACGATGCCCAGGCAGAAATTTGTTTGTTCATTGCTTGTGGCCGGAGCCTCAGCTCTTCGCTTTTATGCGGGTGGTTTCGGTCCTCCTGCTGATGGACAAAATCCTGGGGTTCCTTTAAAGGCATCTATATGGGTCCCTTTAAGGGATCTACAGGGGGTTTAGGGTTACAGGTTGATGGACTATTCATTGATGGACAAAAGGGATCTATGAGGGTCCCTTTAAGGAATATATAGGGGGTTTAGGGTTAAAGGTTGATGATATAGATCCTGCATGACCCGAAGGACTCCAAACTAAGGGAATTATGGTATATTCCTTATAGTAGGTAATGCAGGATTTTGTCCATCAGCAGTCTCATGTACTTGGGGTCCAAGAACCTGCGCGCATTACGTAAGGGTTTTTGTATGCCTGAACATGGAATGGTCACAACCTTCTACTCCTACTGTTTCGAGGTTTTATAAATTTCCTTACGATTAAATTGTCATAACGTTATACTTTCAGGGTTCCGGGCTAGAGGTAGAATACCCGAAGAAGGAAGGCCTTCTGGAAAGACAGCAGATAGCATAGAGCGGTGCAAAGCTTTCTGGTTGCTTCGAAGCTGCTTGTGTTGAATCTTTCCGGACAAAGCCCGGTACCTGATTAGAGTCCTGTCAGTTGCTGAACAGCAGTTACATGTCAGAGGAATACCGAAAAAGACAGTTTGAGAGCAGAGTGTGGGAGAAGCCTCAGTTCTGTTTCCGGCCTTTTCCCGGTCATCGTGAGCTGCTGTTGCCATCCGGTAAGCATGGGAACCTTGTACAAATCGTACGCAGCTGCCCCTGCTTCAAGTCTGTCAGGGTTTAGGTCTCGGCGGCTGTATGTGCATTGCTGTAAAAAGCGGAAATCATATTGCCCGGTAGCTCGGAATGTAAGATATCCCAAAGCCCCGAATTAATTTAGGTCCCTTTTGAGGGGGTGATGTGCAGTACCTTGCGCAAGGTCACCACGAACCACATCATTCTTTGCCAGGACTGGTGGGCGAATGACCAGAGAGCCCAACGCCCTCACATGTATCCGTTATACGTGTATATATATATATATATACATATATAGCATAAATTTATATTGTTATTTATGTACATACTTCAAGTCAGATTCAGATGAAGTTTTACATAGCTCGAGGCCTATGCCTTACTTCCTCCATGCCTTAATGCTGAAGTCTTCAGCCGTAAACCCCGAGCCATGAACCCCGAGCCCTTTAGCATTGAGCCCTCAACCCTGTGTACCCAAAGGCCCCAAAGTAGTTCCTTTTGGGGGTTCATGTATAGAATCCTATAAGGAAATCCCAAAAAGGAACTACTTCGGGGCCTCTGGGTAAACCCAACTCAGTTTGCTGTTTAGAGTTCCCTAAACCAAACTTGGCTTCCCAGCCAGTGCACCTGATGCGATGCTGCGGTTTCGGTTTTCGGGCTCTGAGGGCTATGAGTTTAGGATTTTAAGTTTTTAGGGTTCAGGGGTCTTCAGCTTTAGGGTTTCCGGGTCCAGAGACTACCCATAGGCCTCAAAGTAGTTCTGGACTGCCATGGGTGAAGCCCTGAACCTTGTAAAAAGCTTCTGCTTCTCGTCGACCAGGAGCGAAAACTGCAGCTCTACTCCTTCCAGGGTGTTCTGGAAAGGGTGCGCGCCACAGATACCACCAGCGTAATTGTTGAAACCCTAAGCCGCTAGCTGCCGACAGTTCTAGACCCTAAGTTCAGCACCAACCATGAAACTGGGCTACTATATGGGACTTCCGAAAAATAACTATAAGTACACTGGGCTCCAAAACCCCATTCTATTTGCTAAGGCCGCTATATGGCATGTCTTAGATAGTGAACGGGGGAACTTTAAAACTTGTTGGCCCTTTTTTTCTCTCTATGTTAGAAAGTTTGAACTTTTTGGGGCCCGGTTGTTGAGGAAGAGAGGTTTAGAGATTTGGGATGAGGATGAAGGGCTCCAAATCCCAAAGCCCCAGGTCGCTACCGCAAGCAGAAACCAGGCTTAACAGTGCTTTAGGGGTTCAGGGTGCAGGGTACTAGTGATCGTATAGTAAGGGTTTATAAGGCTGCTATCGAAGCCTGAATAGTTACCTATACTTTGCCTTAGGGTTCCGTAATTCATGCTGTAATCTGCCCCAGGTCTCTGTTCTGATCAAGAAACAACTCTGAACCAAAACCTTAAGACGCTGAGGACCTAAACTTTCAGCTTGAGACGTCTCACTCAGTCCTGCGTTAAGGAGTGGAACTTGGATGCGCTCATCCGCTACATCAAGGTCCGGCAACCCAGGATTGGAGTTCCGGGTTGTATAGTTTAGGATTTTTGTGCATGGTTCCGGGTTTCAGAGCTTAGGACTTAGGGTTTCAGAGCTTGGGACTTAGGGTTTCAGAATTGGGCTTAGGCTCAGGGAGGTGTTGAAGTAGGCCTTCACGAGTGCAAGACCCTTTGCTATGTCCAGACTCTGAACCCCAGGGCTTTGACCTGAGTCTGAATCCTTGCCTGAGACCTTGCAATCCCCCCACTTGCTATAGCACGTCCCCTGCACCACACTTCTCAGAAAGCCCTACACGAGGCTTTGTACAACGTTATAGTCCTTTACCGACAAGAGCGCTTTGTTGAAAGCCAGGCCGAAAGCCCTAAAACCCTGAACCCTAAGCACAACCCTAAAACCTAAGTGGGAGTTTCCGAAAATAGGGGACCCTACTATTGTACCTTAAATAGTACCATCCTTATTGTAAGGACCCCAAAATACGGTACCCCTAATTTTCTGAAACTCCCAAGCACAACCCTAAAACCCTAAACCCTGAACCCCTAAAACCCTAGACCCTAAACTGCCCCAAACCCTGAACCCTAAAACCTAAATTCCAAAACTAGGCTTTTCCGAGTCCCTGGGCCTTCAAACCCCCCTGGCAGGTAGTCGGCGGCGCACCCAAGCGAGAGGGCCTCCTCGTCGGCCTAAAAAATGGCCATGTCATGCACTTCGGGCATGGTTTAGGGTTTAGGGTTTTTTGTTGTGCTTCCGAAACAGGGCTCGTGGATTGGGTTAGGCACTTCGGGCATGTCTCTGATGTTGTTGTGCGAAATCCTGCCTAGTTCTTGTTGTTCAAAGAGCAAACAGGTATGTATGCATGAATGTATGTACGTATGTATAGATGTATGTTAGTAAGTATGTACTGGGAGTCCAAGTATTCGGTGTTGCACGTCAGGGCCCGCCATGTGACTTCGATTCTAAACGGGAGGTGGTTGCAAGGTCTGCCTTTTCGCAATGCACTGCAGCGAAGGTCGCTGGTCACAGTGCACCCAGACATACTTTCCGCGTTTCCGAGAATAGGGGTCAGCCCTGTGTCCTAAACAATAAAAACCTGAAAGCCTTAGGCACTGAATCCCTACGCGGACCGCAAAAAAAGGTACGTAGAATAATAGCCTTTTATAGCCTTCGGACCATCATTTAGCCTAATCTTGGGGGTTTAGGTAAACCCTAAACCCTAAACCCTAAACCGCTAAGAGGGCTCTTGATTCTCTTGATGGTAAAAACCTGAAGGTAGGTCGGGCTGCCCACGGGCTTAAGAATCGGACGGAAAGTTGTAGGGATTAGGGGTTCCTTTAAAGGGATCTATTAAGGGTTCCTATAAGGGACTATAGACCTATATAAGGGTTCTTTGATACAGGGTGTTTTGGCTTTAAGGGTTTGAGGATTTAGGGGTTTGGGGTTCAGGGTTGAGGTTGAGGGTCTCGAAGTGTTTTGGCACAGCAAAGCCCTCAAAAGTGCAATTACCTAGAGGGTCATACCCCACCCCTTCGGATGGTTAGGTTCTCTTATATAGAAAAGTAGGTACCCCAAAAAAGGGGTAGGGTATGACCCTAGGCAACCATGAACTAGACTAGGGTTCGGCGCTTCGGGGGTGTCATCTTCGAGGGTTTTAAGGGTTGCGTATTGCGTTTGGTAGGCTTCGTATATGGTTTTGGAAGGCGGCTGGAATTCCAGTCACTGTCTAGATAGACGTGACCAGAATTATTTCTATAGCTGACAAGTTCACAGCGGTTTTCCCGCCGGAAAGTGACGCAAGCAAAAACATAAAGGTCATACAGGGGCATAGAATAGTATAGATTGGCTATGGGCGCAACCAGCAACTTCGCAGTGGCAGATTTGATGCAGAAACAGCTGCTACTTTCATTCGTTGCATGAACTGAATTATCGGCACCTCGGCTTTATAATGTATTGCAAAACCCTATGAAAATCATTCAGGCCCCTGTAAAAAAAATAGGATTTCAGGATCTTGGTGTGGTGCAGAGTCCTGGGTCGGCAGGGTTTACCTGAAGGACCACATGACCCTTAAAAGTAGGAGCCCTATACCCACTTACTATGAACCCCTATAATGGTATATGAGCCTTAACCCCTTTTAGGGTTCATTTCGTCCTTAAGGTAGGGCTTAGGCTCGGTTTTGAATGTCAGATTAAATTAGTCGGCGTAGCATGCCATAGAGCTGGGGTGGGATCGCCGAAAACGACAAGTCAGATTCACACACACTAAATTCACAAAGCCCTGAACTGCATGCAAATTAAATGACTGCAACCCCCCAAGAGCCTGAGTCTGCATGTCCTCCAAGTTGGGCAGATAAAGGTTGCAAGCCTCCCCTGAAGGTACATGTGACCGCATCGGGCTTTACATAAACGGCTTCCTATATCTGTGCTTATGAGGTAGTCTTATTCTGAACGTTTGAACTTTTAAGCCTTGGGGCTTTGGGGAAGTAAGCTTCAGGTTGCAGCGAAGTGTTTGCAACAGTGGAGGGCGGCCCGGGACCTATAGTTTGATTTGATTAGTTGCTATGCAATGCCTACTTGGCGAATGGATCCCAGCCGCAGCGGAGCTTCGAGCAACGAGGGCACTGATAGCAGCTACAGCAGCAGCAGCAGCAGTGTCAACGATTCGTCTACGTCTACCAGCTGCTCTTCCTCCAGGACCCCGATGCTGACAGTTACGCAAAAGCTGCATCTCGAGTACGGGGAGTTGTTCGTGGACCGCTGCGAACTGAGAGACTTCTTCCAGCAGTTGCCCGACGGCGTCCCGTTGATGACCGAGTTTGGTCAAGACGCTTTCCAGGGGCATTCTCATAACCAAGCGGTTCTGATTACTCCTAACGGGCTTGTTTATGTGGAAGCGCCAGTTTTCGCCGATGCTGCCACATTCCGGCGAATTGTCTCCACGCAGGCTTCTCCCAGCGCGACAGGAGGCATCATGAGGATTTGGCACCCTCTTCCGTCACTCCCGCTCGTTCAATTCCTTGAAGCATGCAATATCTGTTCCCTAGAGCTCCAGTAACCTAAATAGTAGGTTACTAACCATATATAGAGTAGGCCCTTATTCCCTTTTTAAGGGTTCAGGCTCCTTTACAAGCCCCTTTAAACCAAAAAGGGCACCCTTTTTATTCCTAGGGTACTCTTGGGTCTACCCCAGTAGCCCACTATTAAGGCCGCTGGAGCCCTAGGGTGTTTAGATATTCTAAACTTCGTATCTTCGAAAATCGTCAAGTCAACGTACAACCGCCCTATATGCCCGAAACTCTAGTGAACAATTACTCAAGCCCCTTTTTCTATATATATATATATATATATATATATGTACATACATAAACATATATATATATATGTATGTGTGTATATATATATATATATACATACATATTGGATCCCACGCCCGGCCTTTTGTATGAAAGACACGTGAACCGTCTGCCCCGACGCCAGGAAAATCTTTGTCGATAATGCTTTCCCTGTGACGCTCATCAAACAGGCTCAGCTTGTGCGTGAAGCGCTTCCGATATGCGACTTTCCGGAAATAGGGGCCCTAATTTAGTACCCTAAATTGTAGGATCCCTATTATCATGACCCCCAAAATAAGGTACCCTGAATTTTCGGAAATCCCAAACCCCAAACCCTCTATAGAACCCTCATAGGTCCCTTTAAACGAACCCTTAAAGGACCCCCAAAGTAAGGTGCCCCCTACTTTTCGGAAACTCCCTCATTTGACGGCTGAGGGTTTTTGAGATCCATGCTTTTCAGGTTCCGGGGACTCCAGTATCCCTTAATTAAGGAATATTCCTGAAGATATGGTAGGATCCCTTATATGATTTGAGGTGTATTCCTTAATTAAGGGATGTTGGAGTCTCTGGGTTCCGGGGACCGCCAGCAAGGGCCCACAGGCGCAGACTCAAAACCCCTATAAACAGTCTCTACAGTAGAAGCCCAAAAGTTGGAAACCCCATAGCCTCAATCCTTAAGAGTGATGTAGAGGGAATCCCAGCACTATTTGGCCTAAATCCGGTTTCCAAGTTTGTGGGGTTTTCTATAATCATCCTTAATCCATAAACTTCATAGGCTGTTCGACCCCCAATCTGCTGGTACAATAGCACCCGCAACCACCTCCCACTCTGGGTCCTTCGAGCCTCATTAATTCGGCTTGCTCCAGGAACCCTAAACTTAAACCAAAACCCTCTCAAGATGCCCTAAGCGTCCAAAGGACACGTGGATTACGCACCTGCGTTCGTTTCTTCAATCAACGAATAATGTGTGTGCTAGTGGTTTTGCGGAGAGTATGATTATTTGGGACTCGGACCCTGCATGCGGCATAGAAATGCAACGCCGCGGCTGCGGCGCTGGAGTATAGGATAGATGCTGCAAGCCCTATAAAGATTGAATCCTAGCCTGTGTAAGAAGCCCCACATCCTAAACCCTCAAGGGTTTGCCTGTCGCACGACAGGCAACGGCAGTGCGCTGCCTCGACCTCTCCTGCAGGCGGGTTTAGGGTCTTTGGTTCAGGAAAGCTAACCTAAGCTTCAACTGTTGATGCTATCGGTTAGCAAGGCTTCTTGGGTTCTTGCATGAATCCGGCTCAGGGCCCAGCCTCGGCATTTAAGGCTGGATAGAAGTCTCAAAGTTGACTATGGCATGAGTCAGCCATCCAGCACGGACAACAGATGCACCCGCCAACTTCAAGCTCTAGCATATACATGTATATACATATGTATATATATATATACATACATACATACACACTTACACATGTGTATGTACTGTATATACATACCTGCACATAGTGGGGCTTCCATCATCATCACTACCATCTTCACCGCCATCATCGCCTTCATCATCATGTATCATTCGTCATTAGCATCATCAGGGTTGTCATCGTCATCATGTCATCGCCATTATAATCTGTTTGTGCATGTTGTATCTCTCTCTCTATATATATATATATATATATATATATATATATACACACGCATGGGGTTCTGTAACAGGATTCTCACCAACACACCTGTCTGCCTATCCAGCCGTCTATGTATACATATATACACTTACACGTGCATGTACATATATATGTGTGTGTATATATGTATATGTATATATATATATATATATATATACTTCCACAGGCGGAAAAAGCTTGCGGTGGTGGACGAGACATCCAACCTGCTGGTGCGTGAAACTCAATACTCGTGAGATTCGCTAGAGCTCTTGGGTGTAAGGCTCGCTTACCCTAAGGCTCCATGTACCCTTATAGTATATACTTAGGCCTTATAAAGTACCTATATAGGGACCCCTTCAAGGCTTAAGTATCTACTATAAAGGTACATGGAGCCTTTGGGTTAGACTCGGCAGAGCTCTTGTGGATTGGGGTCTAAGGGGCTCCTTAGACTCGTAAGATGTTTTGGGGTTTAGGGCCTCAAGGTGCCCCAGCGCTCAAACAGTAGGACAGCCACGCTGGGTATAGTATGGTCGTGCTTGCACCCTTCAGGGGGTTGAATGCAGGGGCTTAAATACATACCAACCTTATTCCTTAAGGTTCCTGATGTTACCTGTAGTGGAATGTAGGTTCTATTTTGTCAGGCTCGTATATTCGGCTTCTTCAACCCCAAGTCCCAAGCCCAAAACCCCGAACCGTTGTATTTTTCGTCTTTAGGTGTTCAGGTCCCCATGATTTGCCCCCATGCCTACCTTCCAAGCATTCCTTTCGGGGTTTAGGGTTTAGGGCGTAACGGTGTAACGCAATCCAAGAGCCCTCAACCCCTTCCTTTTTCGGGGTTGTTGAATGCAGGTCTTATTCGGGCTTCTGGGACCTTCACTCTACACTCCTATCGCCTTGTTGGTAGACCCGCAAAACTCAAAACCCGGTTTGGGGAAGGATATTCCTTTGGTGGTATCTACAGATTTTTGTGATTTTGTTTCCGAGCAGTGATATTAAAGAGAAACGATTTAGGATTTAGCATCCCAAAGCCGCTTGGATCTCAGGGCTTACCTCAAACAGAGGGAGAAACCAAACAGCAGGCATGCCGTACGACAGACCCAAAGGCTCCATGTACCTTTATAGTAGATACATAAGCCTTAGAGGGTCCCTATATAGGGACTTTAAGGCCTAAGTCTTTAAGTAGCTACTATATGGGCACGTGGAGCCTTTGGGAGATTTAGGTTCTACGGCGTTTTGGGTTCAGGGTATCCCGTACCACGGATCGGAGTCCCAGCCTGTGACTGCATAAAGGTTGGAAGGCTTCAGGTGTTTAAGGGTGTCGTAGGCTTTCGTAAGGGTCTGCGTAGGGTTGCTAGATATATGAGGGTTCTATGTGCTTTCATCAAGGTTTCTTCAAGGGGCTGGCTTTACGGGTTTTGTGTTTTGTAGCCCGCATGACGAGTTTCTTGGAAGTTTGGCCTTGGAAGGGGGTTTCCGGCTTATTGGGATTTGGGCTCACATGCGTACAGTCTACGGCTCTAACGACCTATAGCTTGCGTTGTGGCGGAACCATGCTTTACCGCACGTCGTGCAGTTCTGAGCCAGAAGCGTGAACGCTGCACTACATGGCAATATCGCCTTGTGTCCAGCAGTCCTACAAGTTGCCACGATGGCTGCTGCCCCTGTAAACCCAAAACCCCAACCCCGAAAACTCTTAAAGCCTAAACCCTAATGGCCTAGGTATGACCTTGACACGCAGCAGCTGCTGTATCAGGCACCGTGTCGTTCAAAGCTGTGTAGAAATGTCCGAGAATCCCGCAAAACCATGGGGTGCAGGGTTTAGGTTTTGTGGTTTGGGGCTTACGTTGGGTTTAGTTTGGGGTAGACTGGATAGTGTCAGCGCCTTAAGATATATGGGCATGTTGACCCTTAGTACCGGATGGGACTATAGGGGCTCCATAAAAAAAAAACAGGCTTTGGGTTAGGGGATATATTATATATAATAATTGGAACCCTGCGGAGGTGTAGTGGCAGTTACTGTATGCAGGCAGTCTATTGTGCGTGGCACAGTCTTCAGGTCATATCAGCATTGGGTGCACAGGCTGTCTTCTAGTTATAGGGTCTAGCAGCTTCCAGCTTCACTACACTCAAAGACCCCAATAGACAGACGACCCTACCCTAAACTACAAACCGTGAACCCTAAACCCTAATCCCTAAACCCTGGTCCCTACACCCTAAACCCTAAACCCCCTAAACCCTGGTCCCTACACCCTAAACCCTAAACCCCCTAAACCCTGGTCCCTACACCCTAGACCCTAAACCCCCTAAACCCTGAAGCCTAAGCATGCTGAACCTGAAATTCGGAATCCTTGGCCCTCACAGACGTAGTGCAGGAGCCAAACGCCAACAGCGTGGCCTGGAACACAGAGATGGAGGACCCTGGGATTTCCCTTAGGAACATGGAGGACCGTGGATTTCCTGTAAGAAGATGGAGGACCCTGGATTTGCCTTACATTTATAGGGTCCTTAAGGGAGAGTGGTTCAAGGGGGGAGGGTACGAGGGATCCTTAGGGAACCTTAAGGGATTCTTAGGGAGCACTGGAGAGAACTAAGCAGGTTATCTACACCCTTGGAGCCCCCCCCCGCCCATAACGGTGATATAATTACAAGGCTCCGACTCGACATTGATGTTCCCTGCTTTGGGCGGGCTCCAACCTCCAACTCTCGACCTCGACACCCCAAGCCCTGCAAGCCCTGCAGCACCTTGTGTTGAAGCCGTTTAGCCGTTGGGCTTACGGGTTCCGTTAAGGCTTCCTTGAGCCCATGATAATTGTCATTTGAGTATTATTGTTAACCCCACATGGCAAGTTTAAAAGAGCCCCTTGCAAAGACTCCTCAAGACCCTTTGACCAAGCTGCCTGTCCCGGCCCGGGCAGGACATGCTGGCTTACAGCGGCAGCAACATGCTGTGCCTAGGTTCTGAGCTGGCTTGCTGTAGTGTCATGTAGGCTTACGGCTTAAGATTTTGCGGGAGCTTTCTAGATGATCTAAGGGTCAGTATAGTAGATGTGTTCCTGGGCTTGGCTCGTTTTGGCAAGAGGAGCTCAGGGTGGACTTGGGCAGTGTCATCTGTTGTATGGTTTTCGGTCGAAGATTTACCCTAAGGGTCCGTGTACGCAAATAGCACGTACCCCTGCTACAAAGGCCTAGGGCTTTTTAGCCCAAATATGAGTCCTAGGTTGGGTAGTAGTGTGTTTTGGAATTTTGTGAAGCCCAAGACGCCCTAAACCATAAACTCTTAAACCCTTAAATCTAGCCCAAACCGTAAGCCCTGAACCTGTGAACCCTTGCCTTTGAATTCACAAACCCCAAAACCCCAAACCTTAAGACTACGGAAGGCTATTATGATTTGGGGAAGTATCCCCCATAACAGAGCCCCTGTAGATCCCTTAATTAAAGGAGCCCTTAAAGGGACCCCCCCTTATGGATCCCTTAACGTCTCCCCCCATGACTACAGTACCCAGGACCCTTTGGGTACCCGCTCAGGTGCATCAAGACTGGCAACTTCCCTCCCCACATGCAGAAGCTCCAAGGTGCTGGGGCTTTTATAAGGGATCTTATATGTGAGTTTCCGAAAATAGGGGGTACCTTACTTTGGGTTTTTAATAATAAGGATCCTACTATGTTGGGGTACCCTATTTTCGGAAATTCTTATATACAGCAGAAGCCTAAAAGTTGGAAACCCAATGGCCTCAATCCTTCAGAGTGATGGTTGGGGAATCCCAGCTCTAGTTGGCCTTAATCCGGTTTCCAACTTTATGGGTCTTATATAATGTAACGGTTCTTATACGGGATCTTATATAAGGTAGGTTCTTACAAGGGCTCTCATAATGGATCTTATGATGTAAGGGTTCTTATAAGGTAAGGGATCTTATGCAAGTGACGGTTCTTGTAAATAAGGTATATAAGGGATCTTATACAAGTAACGATTCTTGTAAGGGTTCTTAAAGGGATCACAAAGTAGAAACTATTTGGGCACATGGGCCCTACTATAAGTTAGATTCCCTACAGTATCCCGAGATCCTTAAAAGGAAGCCCTTAAAGGAACCCCTAGGTCCCTTAAAAGGAACCCCTGAAGGAACCCCGGGAAGGAACCCCAAGGTCCCTGAAATGAACCCCTTGAAGGAAGCCTCCTGAAAGTTTGGGTAGGGCGTAGGGCCCGGAAGCCTTGTCATTGGCCAAGCCCATGGCCCTCCCCAGAGATTCGGGTTTAGGGCTTAGGGTTTAGGGTATAGGGTTTAGGGTGTAGGGTTTAGTGTTCAGGGTTCCTCCAAAAACACCCAAACTCTTCAAGGGGCTCCTATGCTCAAAGTATACACTCTACTTGATATTTGCGACTTGGGATATGTTTGTTAATATCCAATGGTGCTGAATATAGAGCCTGATTTATACAGAATTTTAGGGACTGTTGAATTCGACACCTAGTTTAAGGGTGCCTGGACATGCCTGGACCGCTAGAGTAATCTAGATCGGTCCTAGATTCAACACCGCAGCTGAGACCCCACGACACTTTCAGAGCCAGCGCCTTGCCAACATTTGCAGGCTTTGTCGTGGGCTTCAAAGGATCCAAGATCTTTTGCTTGTCCCTTCGAAGCAAGTGTTAATCATTTTGTGGTTTAGGGGTTCATCAAAGGTTCCTGGGAGGTTTCTACTGGGCTGTGGAGTACCATACTTTATTACTTCTTTCTTAAAGGAACCATTATGAAATAAGAGTTTATACTTTGTTCTCCCTGGCTACTTATGAAATAAGAGTTTATACTTTGTTCTCCCTGGTTAATTAAAAGCCCAGTCTAGAAAGGCTCCGACAAGAGATTTGCAACGCTTACCAGGGTTCTACAAGCGTTTCTATAAGGGATCCGTCAGGACTCATCCTGCAGGGGTTTAGGGCTTTTCGGCTTTCGGCTTTCAGCCATGACGAACCCTGAGCCACGGCTTTTCATCGAAGGGCCTTAGTAAATACCAAAACTCTTCCTAGGGTTCCTTATTATAAGTAAGCCCCAAAACCCTAATCGAATTTCTAAGGCCCCTTTACTAGTTTAGACCCGATAAGCTGCCCTAGACCCTGGTAAAACTATGTCATGCTTTGAGCATATGTAGGCAGTTTAACGATTCTGTGCAGGCATTCATCACGGGGTATTAGGATCTCTGGGTTCTACAATAAGGTTTCCTTTGAGGGTGCAAAAGGGTTCTACAATGGGGTTCCCTTTCAGTGTACTATGCAAGGGTTCCTAGTCAGATGAGGACGCCGTTTTCGATTCCAGAGGGGTTTAGGGTTTAGGGTGGCGTAGGGGTTTTGGGTCTAGGGTAGCGTAGGGGTTCTGGGGGTTTAGGGTTTCAGGTGGCTTAGGCGATGGGCGTAGCATACTCGGACCTTGTACCCAGAATCGCCAAACCCGGAACCCGAAGCCACATACTCCAAAAAAGTTTAGGGTTTAGAAGTTAGGGATTAGGGCCAGGGTCCTTACGAAAGCTCTGAGGACAAAAGCCTCAACCATCCAACCCTGAACACAAGACCCGAAAGGCCATAAAATTATACTTATTGGTTCAAAACCCAACTACTCAACTTTTGGGCTCTTATGAGGTAGTCTTATTCTGAAAGCTTGAACTTTTAAGCCTTGGAGCTTTTGGTTACTAGGACCTAGAGTAGGCCCTTATTCCCTTTTTAAGGGTTCAGGTTCCTTTACAAGCCCCTTTAAACCAAAAAGGGCACCCTTTTTATTCCTAGGGTACTCTTGGGTCTAGGTTAAGTAAGTAAGCCCCCAAACCTCAACCCAAAAGCCTGGAATCCTCAGCTTCGTCAAAGACTGTGAGAACCAGAGTCTTACAGTAGAAGCCAGAAAGTTGGAACATGGATTTAGGAGGATTAGTGCTGGGATCCCTTCTACCTTTACCTTAAGGGCATGAGGAGTCTGATGTTCCAACTTTCTGGCTTCTACGATAAGAATAAAAAGGCTTGTCTTTTGGGTATTGGGTAACTTTATAAGGAACCTAGGACTACAAAAAGGGAATAAGGGTACTACTGGGCAGCCTGGGATAGGGTTTAGGGTTTAAACTTTAAACCGCCAAGCCCTGAGCCCCAATTCAAAGCTTGAAGTTGAACTCCTGGATACAGGAGCCTAGGGGGTTGGAGCATGTTTCGCTTTTTTTTGAAAGGGGGGGGGGGGGGGCGTATATGAGAGTATACTCACCATAAGGATCTAGTATACTTTGCAATAAGGCGGAATTTCAGGGAAGGCTAGTAGTAGATATTCAGGCTCCTACAAGAGATTGAGGTCTGAAAGCGAATAATGTTGATTTCTGATGGTCACTGTGCAAGTATGCCAAAAGCTTTACCCCCGACTCGTCTTTGGCATATTCAGCTAAAATCGTGTAATTAGCGAAAACACAATCACGCACCCTTTTCTATATCGAAGAAGCCCATCAACCATCAAAAGGGCTTAGGCCCTCTATCTTCCTCATTGAGGCATTACATATCAATGCAGACGATCGATGTGCCTCAGAGCGCGTCGTTGTACAGATACATAGAAAAGAAGGACCGGGTGGCTTCAGCTATTGCGATCCACACAATTGGGTATAGGGTTTACGATTTATGGGGCTGAAAGCCAGAGAGCAGGTTGGGAATTGAATTTCCAGGTTGTTGATTTTTGAAGTTGTCGATGGCTTTTGCTGGGCGTTTGCCCGTATTTCGGCTCGAAGAGTCGGGGGTCTACAGCTAAGTGTCGGGCTGCAGGGTTTCAGGTTTAGGGTTCAGGGCTTAAGGGTTTGCGGGGCTTAGGCTAGCCGATGCTGAGGCCCAAACGGAACCGAATGCCAAGCTGTTGAGAATTCTATGTACTACATTAGAAGCCAGAAAGTTGGAACATGATTATCCTCATGCCCTTAAGGTAAAAGTAGAAGGGATCCTAGCACTAATCCTCCGAAAGCCATGTTTCAACTTTCTGGCTTCTACTGTACAGTATGTGGTTTGTCAGTAGTTGGACCTTTGCAGGAGTCGTGTTCCGAGGGTGTCCACCCTCTCTCCTTTGAGCCCCGTCCGGTAGATACTCCTTTGGAGTCCTCAATGAATACTCTGATGGGTGCTAGGGTACACAATTTTTTCAATTTCGAATCCTATTTCTAGTCCCGCATGCCCTTCAGAACCTAGAGCACCCTGTGTCTATCTGTTGTCGATCTTTGCAGTTCCTCACAATGCTTCAACTCCCTGCTTGAAAAAAAGTGGACCACATGTATTCCTCTTGTTGGTATCTTGCAAGTCCCATGAACCCTCCCAGGGTCCCGGTAAAGTATCTACTTTCGGACCCAGCACAGACACAACTGCAACATCGAATCGTGCAGAGACGAGCTCTTCGGACTCAGTTGTTCGCCAAAGTGCAAGGCAAATAAGAGGAGTTCAGCCCGAAACCGTAATCATGAAAACGACTAAGAACCCCTGTTTTGCACCTTTGAAGTATAACAAGACCTCAAGCAAGAGTAATGTGGCATTTCATCTGGGATTTGTTCTTTTTGGTTTTTGGTCTGCACGGCCCTGTGACGGGTGCAGGAGTTTGAGTGGGGGATTCTAAAAAGTAGAACTCTTCTTAACAGGAGCCCTCAATCAGGTACTTCGGAAAAGTTAGAAGCCACCATGTTGCAGGACTTCGATACTGCCTACCGGGTAGCCTGCCTGGGCGTCACAGAGGCAGAGGGGAGATTGACTATGGACCTGCGGTAGCTTAGGGGTTAGGGCTTACACCCAGACCCTGGAATGTGGCACCTTTTATTGGATGGCCTTTTTTCTGGTTAGGATCCCAAATAAGAAACTAAGACAACCAAACAAAGCATTACATTTCGGGGAGGGGTGCAGGTTCTAGCGGCTCAGCTGTGAGATGGGGTGCCCAATAGGGGAGTCGTACGGGCGTAGGGGGAGGGGGGGGTAGGGGGCCTTAATGCCCATGATAAGGACCTAATACGGCCTATTTACGAAATATAATCCCCTACCCCCCTCCCCCCTAAGAGTCCCTATGAATGATAGTATTTCCTGTTTTAGAAACCCTTCATTCTACTAACTAATAACATGGGTACTTACGACCCTGTGGACTAGACCAAGGCCTGAAAGGTTCGCAAGACTTAAACTCTGAACACCTGAAGTCACTGAAGCCTTACATAACCCCATGCCCCCCCAACCCATGAACCCCTAAACCCCTTGATCCCAAACCCCAAAACCCTAAACCCGCGACCCATGAACCCCTGAGCCCTAAAGCAGGGGTGTATCCCAATCTTTTCCACCTCAGACCTCAACTTTTCGCCGGGTAGCTGTGTTGGAGGAATACCTAGGGTGTTTGTTCAGGGGTTTAGGAGATTAACCAGCACAGTAAGCTTAATCGCCGCCATACAGCTGCCTGAGACGGTGCGGTGGTTTTCGGATTGGGGCTGGTGTGAGGTTTAGGGGACGGTTTAGGGTTTTGGGTTTAGGGTTTTGGGTTTAGGGCTTTGGGTTTAGGGTTTTGGGTTTTGGGTTTTGGGTTTAGGGTTTTGGGTTTAGGGTTTAGGGTTTAGGGACTGCGGATGACTGGAAGTCTGGTTCAGGGCTTACCAGCCGTGTCGAGCGACCAACTCTTCACTGCAAAGATTGCAACAGGGACATTGCCGATTGTGGACAGAACCATGAGTGGAGTGGCTTCTGTACCGTTCCAGTAGGGGAGCGACGATTTGCTGAGGCAGTTCACCCTCGGGCCTGTGGTGCGCACTGGCATCACTGTCCCAGACGCGCTCGCTGGGGCATTGCACTTGCGGAAATACCAAACTGCGGCACAAAAGCGCGAAGGCCAAAAGGTGACAGAGCATGGCTGTACAGCATGCATGTGCAACTTGCCGCACGACTTAAGCTGCAATGCTGGCTGCGACAAGGGCTTCCTCAAGTCGCGGGAGACCTGCACTGCTAACTCTCCTTACAAGGAGTTTATGAGGCTAGCAGAGCAGAACTGGACTGTTTTGGGGAAATTCCACTTCCAACCGAGCGCGATCCTGCCTTACTCGACGGTCTTGGAGAACATGCACAGGTTTCGCATGAGCAGGATAGTTGGACCGCAGTTGCAGCACCAGTCGCTGGGTGCAGTTCCTCTTCTTGGATGACTTGTCAGCCCCCTAGGCCCTAAGCCCTACACTCTGAACAGCTTTGCTTGAAACGGTTTTTGTGCTACTTATGGTTGCTGCTTCAGGTCCTGAAGCCAGATATTCCCGACCTAGCGATGTTTACTTATATCTGCGTATGGCGTCACTAAATCCTTACCCGTACCGTTCTGAGAGACCCCTGCTCACTAATCTCCTCAACAATAATATAAGGTAAAAGCCAGAAAGTTGGAATATGATTATCCTAAGCCCTTTATGGTAAATTATAAGGTATCCTACCCTGAAACCATATTCCAACTTTCTGGAGTTCCCTATAAGATTGGAACCCTGACATATCCTAGTAGAGTAGGTAATCTTCAGCCTTGTCGGGGCACTAAATTCCCATGTCTCCCAAAGATTAACCTTTATTTCCCCAGAATGCTTCACAAGTAGGAAAACCCTCACTACAGCCCAAACTAGAGGCTCATACCCTACCCTTTTTTTAGGGCAGCTAGTTTTTAAGAAAGCAGATCCCAACCATAAAACTAGGTATCCAAAAAAAGGGGTCGGGTATGAGCCTCCAGGTAGACCCCCCAACTACCCTCCTATTGCACCCAAATACCGACTATAGGCATCTAGGGACTCATATGTTAAGGCTTTTGGGCCCAAAGACCATCTTATATAAGGCTTTTGGGCTATTTTGATGCCCAGGGTTGGGGGATCCTGAGTAACCGAAACCTTTATAGAACCTTCCACTCTGAAGGCCCAAAACCCTAAACCTTCAACTCCTAAACCCCAAACCTTGCGCCTCTATAAACTCCTAAACGCGAAATCCCTAAACCTTAAAACCCTAAACGCAAAACACTAAATCCTATAAAACCTAAACCCCTTCATCATAGAATCCTTATCGCTCTATAGTCCCTTACAGGAACCCTTACGGATCCCTTTAAAGGAACCCCTAATCCCTACAAAGGCGGATTGGAGACTGCTGGCTCTAGATGCCTTGCAGAGCCTCCGCTTTGACATCGCGCGGAAGGCTGCATTCTGCAAGTTGCCTTCGTAAGCATAGGCTCCATAGTAGCTCCTTTGGGGGATTAACCCAGACGGCCTCCATTAAAGGGCCCTTGGTATAGACCCTAAACCCTACCCATAGGCTCCACAGTAGGCGCTTTTTGGGATTACCTTATGGAAGTCTCAATATGAACCCTGGAAGGAACCCCAAGGGTCCAAAGGACCCAATAATTAGGTAATCGGCTTTAGGATAGTAGCTATGTAGGCTAGGATTTTGGAGAGTGTATGATTATTAGGTACTTGGACCCTTGGGGGAACTACTACTAGGATGCCCAGTAGTACCCTTATTCCTTTTTTGTAGTCCTAGGTTCCTTATAAAGTTACCCAATACCAAAAAGAAAGGCCTTTTTATTCTTAGGGTACCCTAGATGATTATTAAATTATTAGGTACTTGGACCCTTGGGGGAACTACTATGGAGCCTCTGGGTAAGCCGTAGGGGCCTTGGGCTTCGGGTTTATAGGGTTTAGGTATTTTAATGGTTTAAGGTTTTAGGGTTTAAGGATTTAGGGTTTTGGGGGTTTCATGTTTCGGGATTAGGCGTTTGCAGGGGTGTAAGGTTTAAAGTTTAAGTGATTAGGGTTTAGGGATTTGGGGGTCTGGGGTTTGGGGGTTTAGGGTTTAGGGATTTAGCGGTTTAGGGTTCACGGGTGTAAGGTTTATAGGGTTTAGGGCTAGGGGTTTTGGGTTTGAGGTTTAGGGGTTTAGGGTTTGGTGTTGCTCCAGTATGTTCCCTTAGGTAGGGGTTGAGGGTTTAGGGGTTATTTAGGGTTGTAACCCTAAACCCTAAACCAGTGCACAGACCCAAAAGTATGTAGACCCATAGCTTTTGGCAGGTGTTGACAGGCAATCCCACACAACGAAGCACATTGTCTTCCCTGCCCTTGCCAGCACCGCTCCACCATCAGACCCATCAAGCGCAGCCCAGTTATGGACAGAGCATCTTCATCTCATTTGCCGCGAACAGCGAATATCCGAGCCCCGCACGCACGAAGATTCGCAGCAGCTGTTTGAGGACATTCGGAGTGTAGCAGCATGTTGCAACAAGGGGCCGTTAATAAACTTGTGAGATGGTTCAGTTTCTCTGAACCCATGGCATTCCTCGACATCCTTTTACATCCACAAGATGCTCCTTCAGCGATCGCCGCAAGACGACGATGACGAGCCTGACGAGAAGCTGCCGGGGGAGTCTGACCCAGCCAGAGTTCTGCTGCGACTTTGTTGGTGTTTGTACCCAGAGACTCCAATATCCCTTAATTAAGGAATATTCCTTGAATTATGGTAGGATCCCTTATATGATTTAAGGTATATTCCTTAATTAAGGGATATTGGAGTCTCTGGGTAAGTTTTGAATTTTCAACAAACATCGCAGGGTTTTGTAGGATCACAGGGATCTAGGTTGAGAGTCTGTCGGGTGTGGAGGGGAGGGTTGTCTTGCGCTGAATCGGAGTCGGGGCTGCTGAAGTATGGGGCATCCGAGTTGAAAGAAAAATCCTATCCCTGAGCCCTTAAACCCAAACCCTAAATCCTTAACCAAAGCCCTACTAGTACCCTTATTCCCTTTTTGTAGTCCTAGGTTCCTTATAAAGTTACCCAATACCCAAAAGAAAGGCCTTTTTATTCATAGGTTACTGGGTATCCTAGTTAACCAAAGCCCTAAATGGGAGTTTCCGAAAATAAGGGGACCCTAATATAGTACCTTAAATAGTAGGATCTTTATTATAAGGACCCCAAAATAGGGTACCTTATTTTTCGGAATCTCCCAAATCGTTTCGGGTTCCGAACTTCGGGTTCCAAAACCCCTAGAGCGGAAACGCTTTAACTAGACTACGGAGCGCAGGAATACTATAGTAGCCTCAGGAATTTATGTTATTTTCGTCCATATAAAACCCAATAGAATATTAGGAATATAACTGTTATGATGGTTCTAGGGCGGGTATAGAATAACGTCGATCATCAGACCACGCAGGCTTAGGGTTTAGGGACGACGACGACTGCGGATATTACACGGACACTGGATCGGAGAAGCGGTTCATTCCCAACTCCCATAGCCATATGGGGTTCTGTGAAGCTTCCTTAGAGGGTTCTACCAGGATTCTTTAAGGGTTCCTTAAAGCAGGGGTAGGGTATGAGCCTCTAGGTACTCCATGCCCTACTGAGCACTGTGTCCTCCAGGCTTTCATCCGAATCCGGGATGTCAGGCCGAGTTTTGTTCTTGCAGGCTTTGCCTCTTTGGAGATTCCTAAGACTTGTGGTACCCAGAGACTCCAATATCCCTTAATTAAGGAATATTCCTTGAATTATGGTAGGATCCCTTATATGATTTAAGGTATATTCCTTAATTAAGGGATATTGGAGTCTCTGGGTAGAATCCTGGTGTGGAGTACCTAGACCCTTGAATGTAGTACCTCTTATTGGATGGCCTGCTTTTGTTAAGATCCCAAAATAAGAAACTAAGGCAACCAAAAAAGGTATTACATTTAAGGGTCTATAGGTATAGGGAAGGAGGCCACAAGTTGCGACTAAGATTCCTGTTTTTGTTGTGCAATGTAAGGCTTAGGGGCTGCGCAGCTTTAGCGTAGATGTCCAAGGGTAAAAGGAGGGACCCTTGATAAGGACCCCTAGGTATATACCCTTAATATAGCCATTAAAAACCATTCTATAGCCCATTATAGGGTAGGGGTCCCCATCAAGGGTCCCTCCTTTTCCCCTTTGAAGATGGTGATTTCAGGGTTCAGGGGTCTCGGAGCAAGGGTCGAGCAACTTAGGGGTACTTAGAAGTAATTTTAAATTTTGGTTATTATAATCCCTAAGAAACAGCTCATTTTTCAAGTTTTGGTTATTAAAATCCCAAAGAAACAGCTATTGTTTTTAATTTTTGCTAGGGTTCTAAGTTCAGTATAGGCAATTCAGCTTACCAACTTGGAGGATCAAGGGACTTCGTAAGTCAGGTTATAAGTACCTTAAGTGGGCTTATAAGTGGTTATAAGTATAGTTATTTCATTTATAACCCCAGTTACTAAGTCCCATGATCCTGAAAGTAGACCCTAAAACCCCTCTTATAGAACCCTTATAGATCCTTTTACAGGCACCCTTTAAGGAACCCCAGTTACTAAGTCCCATGATCCTTTAAGAAGGACTCCCTGGCATGATCCGCAGGCTGACATGGGTATTTAGTTCTCTATATTAGGATCCATTTTATAGGTCCCAAACATAGGGTTTAGGGTTTAGGGTTTACTACGGCACCCTTGTAAAAGGACCCTGATTCTGCGAACTACCCATATAGTCCCGGAATGGAGCCCTGCAAGCCTAGTTGCCTTCATATTTGTTCACAACACTATGCTGACCGACCAAAGCACATGCGAGCGGGCAGGGGAAATGATGCTTAATGCTTCAACCTTGTGCTTGAATACTTGTTCGATTCAGCGCGGCGCTCTTGCGCCCTTTGCTGGAGGTTAGGAGCTCCCTGTATCATTCACGATAGGGGCCCAAATACTAAGCAACACCATTTTTGGGGTTCCTTGTTATGTATATAGTATAATGGGCCCCAAAACCCTATCCTGCTGGAGCGAGTCGTGGAAATCGACGACCCGGAGGGGACCGGGCCCCCTTGGTTCAGGGTCCTGACTTCCATCGGTGGCTTCATTAACGACTACCACAGCATCGTGAAGAGCCCGAACTGTGAGCTCATCTAGTACCCGGGCAACGGCAGAGGGCACCGCTTCCTGTTCTTGCAGGTCATGAAGCAAATTGCCAAGGGCAAGGAGTTGCCTGTGAGTTACAACTAGGACCTGGAGTAGGCCCTTATTCCCTTTTTTGAGGGTTCGGGTTCCCTTATAAGCCCCTTTAAACCAAAAAGGGCACCCTTTTTATTCCTAGGTTACTCTTAGGTCTAGACAACAATGACCTCCGGTTCGAGCCACCGGGGCTGCCACGGCCCCCATACCACCCGCAC